AAAAAAAGAAAAAGAAAAAGAAAAAAAAATCTGTCAAAAAAGAGCCACTCGCTGTGCAAATCACACGTGCAGAGTGGCAGAGCGCGCAGGCGCTTATGTATAAGCAGTTCTTATCATTATCTGTGACATTAAGGAAATGGATGCCATTATAACTCATTAGCGTGCACAGGTGCAGATCTTCTCATTAGAAACTTTGATTGTTCCTTTCATTTCATGACACAGCTTGAGATGTCTCTTCACGTCTGGAGGATGAATGCTTTGTTGGAGCCGACTTTGTGCTCCCTCCCTTAATATTTACATGTCTGTGATGTACAACGCCATCGTGTGGATTTAACCCGCAAACGCATGCACGCCTTGAGAGTGGCCAGTCAAGTGTTGTTAAAAAGAAAATGAGAAAAAGCATACTTTTTAATTTTTTTGAATTTAAAGTTTCATATGGTTTTCTTTCATGTGATCATTCCCAGCACGCGTGACACCGTAGTTTAACTTCCTTTAATTCATATTTAATTTATTCATTTGAACATATTTTAAATAAAACTCTGAAAATAACTGGGCTAAAAGATTATAATTCCCCTTCACAATCATTGAGCTCCATCTCAGGTGTGTGTTGGAAAGGATTGCTTTACCCCACATGATGGCAGTACTGAGCCTGCCCTGTCACACAGCTTTAAACAGACTGGGAATTTATGCCGGATGAGACTATGTATGTATTTGTTTTCAGTTTCTTTTTTTTTCTTTTTTTCGAATATTTTAAAAGTTGTGCTGTAGGTTTAAAAGAACACTTTGCAGACTTAACAGTTCAGCAGTCATGCGGAGCAGCCTGTGAGAACAGTTGGAACAGCATGTCCCCTGATGATGTCATTATTAAGTGGAAGACTGTGAATAGTTTCTGGAGCTTGATGCGTAAAAACAAGTCTGAACATCACAGCTTCAGAATTACTCATATATGCCAGTGATTCTCTTAATATCTTTCTTAAATGCAATATATCTGATATCCTTGTGTTGGAGTTCCTGCATCATAATAATGTTGCAATTGGCCAGTCACATTGTTGTGATGTCATAGCCTTGCAAAGTGGGGATAGAAAGGAAAAAACAAAAGGATAAAAAAGGCTTTGTTAATCTAAAACTCCTTTCTGCAACAAATGATCAGCATTTCAAGTGTTTTATTTGTTTATTTATACAACATAATGATGTTATGTTAGTCAGTCACATTATTCGTGTTGGTTTGCTTGTGAAAGTTTTTAACAGCATTATCTAATGTCTTGGCTCCTGCTAACCTAAAGCATTGATCAGTTGCATTGTTGATGATCCTGGATCAATGATGATGTAGGAACAACACCAACGTGGGGATATCTCATCAGATCGTGCCATATATATTCTGTTACGGTGCTGGTTCATAAGAAAGATGGCCAAGGGTTCAATGAGGTCAGTGTATGTGCGAGTAATCCCTATGAGCCGTACTTTAAGGCTTTTTCTCTACTTCTGGCTTTATAAATGTCAATGAAAGTGGATAGCCTAACCCTGTTGGGAGGGGTGGAAGAGAAGCTAAAACAGCATGTTTCAGACAGTGGATGAGGTGTGTGGCTGCATCAGCTCAAGATAAATAAGGGTTATTTTGAGCTGTGAAGTATGCAAAGCTACTCTAGTAGAGGCCACGAATAAAGCAGGATGAGTTCCCTATGAGTGATGGAACAGATGGAGGTGGAAATTAGCCAACTACCGCAGGTCTGCTTTGTGACACTTTAATGTTACTTTAACTTACAACTCAGCAGCTAGACATTTTAGAGAGACATAGGGCACCCTGTCTGCAACTGATTTCATACATTTATTCAAAAGTAACTTTAAGTAGTAAGATTTTATATTTAAAAAAATTAAAGTTGAGAAAAATTACCTTAAAACTTCTCTCATTTTGATTACATTTAAATAACTACTTCACTTTAAAACTTTAAAAGCATAAAAGAACATTTTTTTTCTGTTCTAATGTTTAAACTTCTGACACCCTCTCAGGCTTATCAAAAGAGAAAGGGCCTAGGTTATGTAGAGTTAACGATCCAGTAACATGATTTTTAATGATAATGAACATAGAGACATGCTGCTGGTAATACTGCTAAGTACTTTCTGTCAAGTAGGATGTTGGATGTGGGACTTTTTTCATTGCTGTACCGACACATTTGTAAAGAATTTGTCATCTGGAGATATACACCATGTGTATTTGGGAAAGGAATGGGAATAATAATGTAGTAAGTCGTGACTAATCATTTTAAATGAATCTGTACCTTTTGTTACTAGCTTTTTCTTTTAATCAGTGATACTTTGGCTCCATGTCAGGAGATCAGAAGATACTTTAGGAGTTGAGCTGCATTTATAAAATACAAAGAAGGGGACAGAAGGCTTTCTAAAAAGCCCTGACGTGATCACTTTTTCCAAGATTTTCCCAACAAAACGAAATGAAATGCAGTCTCAAACCATGACAGAGCCTCCACTGTGTTTTACATGGCTGCTCACTGTTCTAACTTTCTCCTGACCTCCTCTTTATATATTGATAACCTTTTTAACCAAAAATGTAAAATTTGGAGCTATCACTCCATAAGACCTGCTGATGCTGATTTTTTTGTCCAGTTTTTGTGTGACTTGGCAGCCTTTTCTCCCCGATTCCTTTCCTCAAGTCAACAAAAGCATCCTGTTCACATGCAAAACAAATGCAGCAGCTCTGACACACAAAATCACCGCCAATCACTCTGAGAACACAACAGCAAAACAAGCAGTGCAGACTGACACAGACAGCTTTTCTTATTTCAATATCCATTTATTGTTCTCATCACACAAATCTTTACAAAAACAGAAGGTTTGCTGCATCAGGATCAAAGGAAACACGGTCCTGCCTCTGAGTAGCAGATCTGAAGGAGACTGGTGCTTTTTATTCACATGTCAGTCAACTGCAGCGTGTTTGTTGTTTGATTTTTAAACATGTGTTACTGAAGACTTTACAGGAAAGTAAAGCTGCGGCGACGGCAGTCGAGCCGGTGGAGAATCCGAGTCTTCGTGGCGGGCGTGTTTACCTTTCATGTTTGTTTGTGTCTCATTTGTGCATTTGGGATCACAGAGGATTCACAGAGAATTTGGACAAATGACAAACTCGCACTTGCAAATGAAATTACAGCCAGTCACTGCTTAGAAAACACTTTCGTTACATTTCGTCATCAAGATTATCTTAAGGCATTTCTGCTTCACTGGGACATTGAAGACTGGAAAGAAATGAGGAAACACATGAAACAAAGGGCCATCATGCAGCAAAGGTCACATGTCTGACTCAGCTTCACAAAGTTGCAGGTACAGTATGTGGTATAAGTAGCCCTGGCTCTCTGAGCCATCAAAAATGTCACAGTTTTGATTATTTATTTATTTGTTTTTTCAGTGAAATCAAACCTCTCACAAGTACAAGATGCTGATGATAATGAAGCTTAGCATCCACCAGGGAACTATATAAGGGTAGTTTAGCACATATTCTCGATGGTCAAACACATGCTTTTGGTTAAGTAGAAGCTATAATGAAAAATAAAATCTACTGGGTGCTAGATTTGGATCTCTAAAAGAGGAGAGAAGTTATGTTCTTTTTGTTTTAATTTCGAAAATGATACCTATGACAGCCACATAGAGTGTGAGTGGAGCGTTCGTAAGGAATGTTAACAAAAAACTTAAAGATATGTAGGCTGATGGAGGATTTAGTTGTTGTCATGCAGTCTGATGACGTTTTATCACTAATGTTATAATGCTAATGATTAGCCAGAGAGGCACATATTTACAACACAGGCCTATCATCAGAAAATTGGGCCATCTTTAACTTACATCCACATGAATGGGGAATCAAAAGCGATACATGCCTGGAGAATTATCACCCAGCTCTGCTTCTCAGCGATATGAAGCCTTTTAAGCATGTTATAGGTTTTTATTCTGGTTTTGTGACCTGCAGCTTTACATTACTTCAAAACATTGCTATAGTCAGATAATAATAATGTATACTTTATTGATCCCTGTGGGGAAAATCCTCTCTGCATTTAACCCACTCACTCAGTGAAGCAGTGGGCAGCCATTGGGCACCCAGGGAGCAGTGTGTAGGGATGGTACCTTGCTCAGGGGTACCTCAGGGTTGCCATTCAGTGGATTTGAGCCCTCGACCTTCCGATCATGGTGAAACCACTCTACCTACTGAGCTATCCCTGCCCTTATGAAGATTCTCATTTCCATCTGCAACAATTATTCTTTTCAGGGACCTTGCTGCTTTATTACACAATAGACATGACATTGATGAAGTCAGATAGAGCATTCGAGAAGGGGTGGTGATCAAGGTGGGTTGCAAAGCAGCTTGCAGAAGTGCATTAACTGCAGACAGGCTACACCAACTCAAATAGCATAAGTCGGATCAGCTAATGTGGAATAGCATGAGGATCAGCTGATCTGCTGGTATCATGAATGAGCCTCACTTTATGCTAGATAATTAAGACTTAAAAGCAGGAAGCTCCCTTCAGTGGGAAAACCTCTGGTAACTGTAAAACTGGTCCAAGTAGACAGCAGACAGACAAAGTTAGCAGCTGGCTGGTGATCATAGTAGAGCATAGTAGAACAACTAAAATAGAAAATATGCCCATTCATCATTAACATTACACCATTCATCAAATTAAAGCTCTTAATCTGTTAAGTTGGATGTGAAAGATGTTAGATAAAGTATTAGTGCTAACTAGAATGCAATAATTTGTGTTCACAGCTTGACCTATTGCCTTGAAAAAGGAAAAATAGATCTCTATGCTTTAGATTTATGGCCCCACTATAAACTGTTGACCTGTCTGGGATGTAACCTCACTCTTGCCCCATCACAACTGAAAAGTAGAGGATGGATGGATGGATGATCAAAGCATCAAAGTATGGATGAAAAAAGAAAAGTGAAAATGGCCTCATAAAACTCAGAAAGTCAGGATCACATAGTGTCTGATGTCAGAGTAAAATGACTTTTCCAATCCAGCTTTATTCAGTCCAACAGGCAGACGCAGCACATTGAAACAAAAAGTGAGTCATCTGAGTACTTTCCAACTGATGGGTCAGAGTGGTTCAGCACGTCTGCACGAATTCTCCATCATTGTAACAAAAACAAGATTTTCCTTCAATCGCCACACAGAGTCTTGGTGATGCTCGTGTAAAAATCACACTCTCAATAGAAAAAAGAGCTTTGTACAATATCTTACAGGTTCCGTGTTAGAAAGTGGGGAAGAGGAGAAAGAAAGTACAGTAACAAGTAGGGGGTATAAGTGTGCTTGTGCATGTGCGTGCTTTCAAATATGTTAGAGTTTACGTCTGTAAAACGAGGTCTTCTGTGCTTTGTGTGTGTGTGTGTGTGTGTGTGTGTGTGTGTTTGTTTGTCCAGCAGAGGGAAACATTTCACAGCACAGTGATGGCATATTAGCCTAGATACAGACACCACAGAGAAGAGAGATAAATGGAGAATGTAAAAAACAAAATGTATTTGTAAAGAAAGGAAAAGCAAACAAAGGCAAATGAAGAGAACAAAAGACAAAAGTGGATCGTGAGGGAGTGTGCAAATCAAAATCAGCAAAACTGTCATGCCACACGGAGCGCTTATGGCAACCACGCCGTATATATACAAACGTCAGTAAATCAATATATCAATAAAATCTCAGAAATAAATCACAGTAATTACACGACGCAGCCAGTCCGCAGCAAAGACGATGCCACTTCAGGATGAGCGATGCTGTTCCACAATTAAATGAAAGAGACATTTTTTTAAAAAGTCAGTTGGCATCACAGAGAAGTGTCCTGTATGAAGGCTCCTTTTCACAAAAGAATACAAAAAAAAAACCAAGCAAAAAACAAATATTTGCTCCTGAATGTGATGCACTTAATTTGGCTCACTGTTGTGCCACCTGCATTCGGGAGCTTGGATTTGTCTCATCCAATGTGTGTTTCTGTTTCACATTAGGTTTTGGCAAAATTGCAACCATCTGAGAGCGAAGGAAAACACAAAGTTGATAGCCAAGTGAAGATGTCTGTACCTTCATCCTGTTTGCTTTTGTCTGGTGCTTCTGCTGAAGGATAAGAAACGGATCCATTGATCCTGGGAAACCTCATGCGAAGCTGACTAGGGAACTGCTACTCAACCCTGGTGGGTGCTTATGCATGTGTCTGTGTGCACATGCATGGGATGAAATAAGGAGAGCAAGTGTGTTTGTTTGTGTGTTCATATGGCTTGCTAAAAGGATGTTTTGTACGGGTAAATCTCAGCAGCACACATTTCCTCAGGTGGGTTTCTTTGGTCCAACACGGCGCACGTCAAAGCCGCGTCCTGAGAGCTCACCATCACCTTTCGGGTTCTTTCCTCAAACAGGTGTGCGCTCGTACGGTTGGAGAAAAAGAAGCAGCGGACATTCTCAGTGGTCACCTTATATTTAGTTTTCGTAACAGAGCAAACCACTGCTGATGAAAGTGAGCTTCATGTGATTGAGTTTATATACATATAAAAAAATTAGTTACATTTTTCAACATGAAAAAAAAAGGAAAGAAAAAAAAGATGTACCTGACTCTGTACTTATTGTTCAGAGCTTTACTTTACTGGTATTCCAACAAAGAGAAAGTCTTTGAAGAGTTTGCCTATCGGTTCCCCGGGGGTTGAGAGGGCAACGGGGGATGTGTGTACTGTGTATCATGTATTAGGAGGGGTGGGGGGTCTAGACCTGCGTGGAATAGGAGCGGTGCAATGTTGCGTACCGCCCAGCCGGATGGGCGGCGCATTGTGGTGAGTGCTGCTCCGACTGGTCTAGACTTCGCTGGAAATGGAGCGAGACGGTATGAGGACATCGGGGGTGGCGGGGAACCGATAGGGCTGATGGTCATGTGATCTCGGTGAACGGAGATCCCCGCGGAGTCTGCAGGGGAAAGAGAGGAGTGAGAAAGAGAGAGGAGGACGGGGCAGAGAGGAGGCGGAGGAAGAGAGAGAAAAGTGAAGAAAAGAATAATCAAGAGCAATGTACAGGGATGAGGGGAGGACAGAACAGATGTTCAACAGAGCAAAAAACAGAAATAAGGCAACAGATGGCGGAGATAGTGTTGGGGTGGGGGTGGGGGGGGTGACAACGTTGGGTAAAAAATATTCAAAGCTGGTTAAAATGGTTGGACGTAGGTGTTGTAAGGTGGGGAGGAGGAGGAGAGTGCAAGATGCTGAAGGAGAGTGAGGGACAAGGGAGCAGATTGAAAGGAGAGAGGCAAGGTGGGAGACAGAGGAAAAGAAGGCAGTCAGGTGAGGGTTAGTGACAGTGAGAGACCACAGAGGACGCACGATATTTTTCTAAATGCTTCACCCCTGAGAGAATCGCTTTAGAAAATGCAGCGCTTTCGGAGAGAAGATATAACTTGAGGGGATCGCTTCCACAGCTAAGACTATTTTCTTTTAGTCTCTGCTGACTTCACAGTTTCCCTTCAGCCAAGTGCTCTGCATTATATCCAAATGGTAAATAACACTTGGAGTGTGTCAGCCAAACTGCTGATTCACCTCAAAGACACAAGTGGCTCTCTCTGTAAACCAGATAACGTGAAAATTTGTAACACTGTGGGATTTTTAGGAGTAAGCAGCACCTCTTTCCAAAGCAAACATTCACACTAGAATTTGTTCCATCCTCTGACTGAAACATAACTGTGGCTCATTTCACACCACTAGAACAAATCTCACATGCGTTCTTATCAGGGTACAACAAGCCTCGCGTGTGCAGAGATTTAAAGGATTCACTTGGGTGTTTTGCTAGGACTGGGCGTGCAGGTGGGCTTGGAGCATGCGTGTTTGAATTTGTTCTTTTTTGAGGAACAAAAGGAAGGTCACGGATTCAGTTAAGAGACAAGGGGTGTGTATCTCAGCGCTTCTGTGAGCACAGTTGTGCCTCACACCCACCCCCGCCCCTTACCTGAGGGCCACTTAACTTTTCGAGTGGACTCTCCACAGAGGGCAGTGTCACCATCGGCATGCCCAGCATTGACTCGGGACGTTGGGGTCGCGGTGGAGGAAGACCGGGCTGCAGCTGTTGGAAGTTGTTAATCACACAAGTCACCTGATGATAGAAACCAACATAAAGAGTTAACTGGGACCAGAATGAGACACATGAGAGAAATTGACCATTTGCCAAATTCAATGCCTAATCAGACTGTTCAGTAACAGCTTAGTGGATTTTCCTGTGTGGCAAAATGGTTTACAAGGGCTTTGGGGGAAAAAAGGACCGAATTATCAAAGAGCATGAATGTTATAGTTATTTTGGGCTTTGGATAATTTCTTTGAACTGTTCTTTTTCCAGTGTACATCTTTAATGCACAAGTTTAAATATTGTTCTCCAATCCACACGGGGTAAAAAGTACTCAAACATACTTAGATATCGACATACATTCACTTAAATCTTCTAATATGTGGTACTAAAGGTTCTTGTCTTTTAACTCGACAAGGGTAAGGCATATTAACCTCTCATTAGTGATCATGATTGACTACAACTGGTTCTACAACTTTTCAACTCAACATAAAAAGAATTTGACAGTACTCTCTGGATTACTCGATACTCAGAATGGGAAAGTCCAAGTGAAAATCTAAGAATGAGAATTATAGATTTACACAAGTTGCGAAGGTCTCAACAACTGCACCATCAGTTCAAACATTTCTATGTAAATGCAAATTATTTGGATTTTTCCCCACCAGAAAACCCAACTGTCACCCTCAGCTGAGAAGAAATGTGTTAGGATATTCAGGAACAACCAAGGAACCACTAAGGTTCCAAGGCATGACCTGGAAACTGCTGGAACACCAGTGTCACTGTCCAAAGTGATGTGGGTTTTTACACAGCCATGGACTAAGACAGTGCTAACCAAGAAAGAAGCCCCTGCTCCAAAGGTGGCAAGGTCAAGCTCAACTGAGACTTGCTGCTGCCCACATGGCAAAACCTAACACTCCTGAAGAAAGGTTTTACGTTCAGATGAGACAAAGATTGATGTAGTTGACCACAGTGAGATTAAGTATGTTTGGAAGAGAATAAGTTCAGGTTTTCAAACCTAAGAACTAGGGCTATATGGCCTAAAATTCATATTGCGATATAATTTGAAGCATGTGCGGTAACGATATATATCACAATATATTCTTTTCTTCTGTACAACGTATATTCCGCACTATAAGGCGCACTTAAAATCCTTTAATTTTCTCAAAAATTGAGAGTGTGCCTTATGTATGAATTCTGGTTGTGCTTACTGACCTCGAACCGATTTTGGCGTGCAGAAATCTGTTAAAAAATGTTTTAATACAACTTTGGTAAGCCGCACTGCTTGATGGATTGTCAGAGCATTACGGCTGCCGTAGTGAGAAGCTTCGAGGAGTAATCTGGGTCCAAAACTCCGTCCTCTTCAGGTCCCAAAGTCAAACGAACACTAAGAGTTAAAAACGGTCTAAATTCTTTCATCTTTAATTAAATCATCAGCATTGCTGCTTTATTGGGTGTAACAATTAAGTTTAACATCCATGAAAACAGAATTTATTCAATTTAACGGAGTTAGAAGTTAACAGGAAGTTAGCTCGCTAGTTTACACCTAAACATTTCATACCATGTTCTGACTGAGAGATTTTTGAAACTAATTAAAACGTACAGCTCTGTTACCACTTCCAACATAAATGAAGACAGAAAACTAAACAGCAGTGGCGTTTGCAGGGTTACTTAAGTTGGACTACCTGGTACATAATGTTGTGCTACGTGATCGCTAGCGACACAGCTATGTTAGCATAACATTAGCACAGTGAAGCTGGAGGATGAATGCCAACTTTTTTCCACTTGATAAAAGTTAACGTGAGGGATTCTGTTGGTTTGGGACAAATGCAATCGGATAGCAGGATGCTATAAACGGGCCAAACTTCAGTCAGGAAAACAACTGAGATAATCCATACACGAGGTTAGTTATTAATATACTGCAACGACATGGGAATAGAACAGCTGCGAGAGAATTCAACATTAATGAATCAATGTTATGGAAGTGGAGGAAGCGCAATTTTGGGCTTTCCCCATGTTTCAAAAGTGCTTCATCTCTTTGCTATGACTGTCGCCCGCCATAATAGAGATTGAAAATGTGACGTCATTCAAGGGTAAAACCGCAAAGAATTCTGGGAACTCGTGGCAAGA